GGCGCACCATGCGTGGCCTAGGATGGCTGGGCACCATCGCAGCCCAGGCAGCATCACTAGGCGCACCATGCGTGCCCTAGGATGGCTTGATGCCATAGCAGCCCTAGCATAGTGCTGGGCGCATGGCAGGGCCACACGCACCAAGCACAACTATTGCTAGGCACTGGCGTATGCGTGGTGCGTGGTGCCTGGGCGAGGCATATGCATGCTTGATGCATATTGCCGGGCTTATGCGTGTGGCTATGCAAGAGTGTGTGTGCGAGGGGCTGGCAGGCTAGCAAGCAATGTCAAGACAAGCATGCGTGGCTTGCTAGCAGCACGCATGCTAGGCACTGTGTGCGAGAGAGATGCGTAGTGCGCATGGTGTGGGAGTGCGGTGCGTGGCAAGAGGCCAGCATGCGTGGCTCGCTAGCAACACGCATGCTGGGCCATGCGAGCAGCGACGATGCGAGGGATGCTGGCAGCAGCGCCAGCATGCACCAGCGCCAGCGCCAGCACGCACCAGCCAGCACCAGCGCCAGCACGCACCAGCGAGCATCAGCGATGCTGCTGGGCTTGTGCTAGCCTGCTGGGCTAGCTGGCACAGCCAGCTGGCACGCTAGCTGGCAGCTGGGCAGTAGGCTAGGGTGAGGCGGTTTATGAGGAGAGTGGGGACCAAGGCTTTGGGAAGGCCTTGGGGAGCAAGGCATTGGTCCCCCCACCTCTCCATGGTCCTCACCTAACACTCTCTCCCTCCTTGACACTTATCGAATTGTGATTGCATTTGTTTATTGATTTATTTTAGAAATAAATTAATTGACAAATAAAACATTCTCCCACATTGGTTGGGGAATGAGAATCAAGGGATCATTTCCCTATAAATACCAAGCTTGGTATTGGGATTTGTTACAACCTTGAGTGTAATTAAAAAGGAAACTCTATGAAAAGAGTAAACCTTTGATTCGTAAAACTCATAGTTATTTTGTCCGGGTCTTGACTAACCTTCAAGACTTAGGACGCTCGGGTCGGGTCGAGGGTACGATCCGTTGGAGATATCGTCTTTTTGGGATTTTGAAATAAGAGCTCGTTGGGAGCGAAGCACGCGTCAAAGGTATAATTCTTGTCCTAAATCTTGTTTGATTAAGTTTATGCTTGTTTAATTGCTTTAATTAAGGGGCGGGTCTTGGTGGGTTTCCTTCTGGGTAGTGTCGGGTCACTACAAAACCCTACATCTTGGGATGACCTTCATACATAGTTAGCTTTCTAAACAGACCCTTATCCGGTCGTAGACCTTCTGGGGTATTTCTGAACCCACCCACTGAATACCGTCTTGGGTATCTTGGGATGAACTTTGTACATTGTTTAGTCAGCCATCTAAACTACCACAAGCAGGTAATTCTGTCTTGGTATCTTTGAATGAGTTTATGAAAAAACAGGCTAACTTTTATCTGTCTTTCATCTTCAAACACATCCGCCTATAGTGACTTCAAGCCACTTTCAGCTTTGACGGTTGAACCTAACAAGCTTTACATTCTAAGGTACCGTCTGTACCCTTTGCAATTCTTTCCATTTAATTTTCGGTTGTGCATATAGAGTTAGGATATGGACTCCACCAATATAAACATGGCACAACCTACGACAGTGGTCATCCAGTCACTAGGGACGGCTGAGTCTAGGATTGGGACTGCTGTCTAGGGGTGCTTGGGACAAGCTTCACCTACTTCAAATCCGACCGTTTCTGTTCATGTGCAGGACAGAATGGCCCGGACTAGATTGACGACAGTAGATCCTGATTATAAGTCCGATGATGCAGCCGTTGATCCGGCTGACCCCTTAAATGAAGAGCAGACGGAGGAACCGTCTGAGAGAGTTCCTAATGAGGGTACTCCGCAAGACTCCCCAGGTGAACCTAGAACACCGGGTGATAGCATTTTGGGTATCTCTGGTTCTAATGCCGAGGAATCCAGCGAAGGATCAGATGACGAGGAGTCCGGCTCTGATGAAGAGTCTCCTGAAGCGGCTGCCCCTATTGATGAGGAAGCCTATAAGTGGCCGGCTGCGGGTGACCCTACCGACATGACTATGTCAGCCAGGCATGTGGTTACTTTAAACGCAACACTCCCTGCTTTTTTTAAGAAGAAGCCAGTGGGGAAGAACTAGGAAGTGGTTGTACCGCCTGTAGAGGCAAGCGTCATTTGGACCGACGATTTGGAAAATGCCGACAACTACTTCGGCTGCTACGAGGCGGCATTCACAACCGGCCTCCGGTTCCCCCTTCATCATTGCGTTAAGGCCATACTAAGGGGATATGACTTGGGTGTATGGTAGTCGACCCCTAACTCATGGGTTAACATATTAGGATATATTGCCGCCTGCGAGTTGCAGGAGGTTAAGCCTAGCTGGGAGGCATTCGCTCATATGCATTACCTCAGCCGGGCACCGGGTGGTTGGAATGCATGGTATACTTTAACAACCCACCCAGAGTATATGATGACTTTGGACAAGTCGTCCAAATAGAGCAATTGGAAGAGCAAATTCTATGCTGTTTCTTCCCCAACTCCACAACTTAACCGCCGGGTGCGCAGATATAATAAGCATCCGGTTTTGCTCGGGAGAAAATGCGCTCTCCCAAATGTGCTGGGTTGAGGCATGGGATCAAATAATGGAAAGAGGTCTCTTTCTTAAGACAACCTCCCGAATGGATGATGGGAGCGAAATTATTGTTCCCAAATTCTAGGTTCCCCATCCGGAATGGTTTAAGGATGAGGCCTTCCTATCTCTCTGTAATCTTAGTACAATGTTTACTAAGGGTAGGTATGAGGATAGTGTAAGTGTATGCTAGCTAGGATAGCTCTTAATCCCGATAGGTGATTAGAGAGTATTCTTGATATTGGCTTGTATGAGTTGCTTGGGTTACATGTAAACCTATTTTTCGATGCCTAACTTGATCGAACTAGATTAACATTAGGAGATAAATAGCGGTGCTTAATCGTTCCCCTGTATTCGACCCTTAACTTGCCTCTATACTCGTTTAGTTGCATGTTCAGGACTACAAATATCATTTGATAGAGGTGTCTTAGTAACGACCTAAAATACCGCCTGTCACCCGTAAATACTTGATCATAGCCGGATGTGTGGCCTCATAGTCACCATGGTATTGGATAACAATCAAATGTGAATCAGAACAGGCGTCCACTTTCTTTGCCCCGATCGCCTTACACATTGTTCAAGGCCTAGAACTTAAAACGCAGTGCATATTCATATTTGTCCCCTTCAGGAGACTAACATATGACGCCTGCACCACAACTGTTCATTGTGGAGCTCCCGTCCACATATATCTTCCAGATTTGGTCAGGATTTTCAGGATCAGCCGGCCTAGTCATTTAAACAATGAAGTCGGCAAGTGCCTGCCCCTTCACTGCTTTCCTTGGCTCAAAATTAATTTTTAAGCTTTGAATTTAAATTACCTACTTAATCATTCGGCCGGATGATTCCATGGTTGTCAGTGGCCGCTTGATTGGTTGATCAGTGTAAACCACGACCGGGTGTGCCAAGAAGTAACGTTTCAGCTTCTTATGGCATGAAGAGGGCCAGGCCAAAATTTTCAACCATGGGATAAGGACATGGCTGATGAAATAGACGGGGAGCTGGCAGCCGTCTCTTTCAGCAAGGAGGACGGCACTGAGAGCATGATTAGAGACGACCAAGTACATGTATAACACTTCCTTTGACAAAAGGTTGACTAGCCTTGGCAAAGAGTGCAAGTGTTCCTTCAACTTTTGGGAGGCTGCCTCTGCATCCGTCCCCCATTCAAACATAGTCTTCTTTTTGATTGCTTGGAAGAAATAGAGGCACTTGTCGCCTGACCGACTGAGGAATCTCCCCAATGCCGCTAGACAACCTGTTAATTTTTAAACTTCCTTTACAGTATGGGGCTACTACATGTCTATGACAGCCTGTATTTTTTTCAAGATTGGCCTATATCCCCTTTTAATCAATCAGAAATCCGAGGAACTTCCCAAACTCAACACCAAAAACACATTTCTTGGGATTGAGCATGACCTGGTTTCGCTTGACTGTGGCGAATGTTTCTCGGAGATCTGTAAGATGGTCCATTTGAACTTTGGATTTGACTCTCATATCATCAATGTACGCCCCCACATTCCTTCCAATTTGATTAATGAATACTGTATTAATCATTCTCTGGAAGGTAGCAGGCGCATTCTTCAAACCAAACGGCATCACAATATAGCAGAATAACCCCTGATCAATGACGAATGCTGTCTTTTCTTGATCTTTCTTCCACAAGGGTATCTAGTGAAAGTCTGAATAGGCGTCCATGAAGCTCATCAAGGCATGGCCGGCTGTAGAGTCGACCAGACTGTCGATCTTTGGGAAAGGATAACTATCCTTTGGACATGCCTTGTTCAAGTCTATGTAATCTATACACATGCGCCAGGTTCCATTCGGCTTCTTTACAAGTACAACATTGGCAACCCAATCTGGGAAGTAGCATTGCCGAATGAACCCAGCTCTAATAATTTTTTCACCTCGGCGGCTGCCGCCTGACTTCTTTCTTCATCATGGTTCCTCTTCTTTTGCCTTACTAGCTTTGTTTTAGGATCCACAACAAGTTTGTGGACGGCTAGATCCAGGCTGATGCCTGGCATCTCGTCCACTTTAAAGGCAAAATATCTCTTTGAATTCTGTTAACAAGTGGTGCAAGTCTACACCAAGTTCAGCAAAAGCAGTCGTCCCAACCTAAATAGTCTGGTCCGGACGATGTCCATATGTTCACCAGCCGGCTGGGGACGGAGTTCATCCGGCCTTTGACCGGTCAAATACTGCTATTGCCTGTCTTTTTTCTCGGCCACCATTTGGTTGGCCTTTCTCTTCTTGCCGCCTGCTGTTGCAGCAGGCGTGGCGTCCTTGGCTTGGTCAAGGTTGATTGTTTCTCCACTGGGGTCGGCTGCGACCACAATGGGCTTGACATCAGAGAGGTAACACTCCCTGGCCATCTTCTAGTCTCCTCGTAGGAAGCCAACTGTTCCATCATCCCTCTCAAACTTGAGAAGCATGAGAGACGAAATGATAACAGCTTTGGATTCATTCAGGGTGGGACGTCCCAAAATCATGTTGTAGGCCGTCAGTTCATCAACAACTAAGAACCGGAACACCATGTAGCGTCCCTTCCCTTTCTCGCCCAAACGAATAGGTAAGTTTATTTGACCTACCGGATGTACCACACCACCCCCAAATCCCACTAAGGGATGAGAGACCTGGTGCATACTCTCGGGCTTGTACCTAAGCTTGGTCAAGCACTTGTGACTGATGAGATTAGACGAGCTCCCAGTGTCTATGAGGATCCGACCGACTCTTTGGTTGGCTACTTTGCATTCGATGACTATAGCATCATCATGCGGCCTCCTAATTTTGCCCCTAACATCCTTAGTAACTACAACTTCGGGAAAGGAGTCTTTGGACGCCTGCCCCTCGTTGACCAAGTTGATGTCGAGCTGTCTGATATAGTCCTTGTTACCCCGGATTGTTGGGCCGCCTCCGGCGAAGCCGCTTGCTATTGTATAGATCAGAATTTCTTCAGTATCCGAACTATTAGCAGAGTGGGACTTCTTTTTGGGCGGCTTCCCAGTGTTAGTTTGTAAGGTAACTTTGGACCTCAAAACATAGGACTTGAGTACCCCTTTGTCAGCTAGGCGGTCCAACAGACCCTTAAGGTTATAGCATTCGTTGGTATCATGGCTAATATCCTCATGGTAGTGGCAGTATTTGTTTTTGTTTCGATTTTTAGCGGAACCCTTCATAGGATCCGGCTTCTCAATAGAGACCCGGTCCTTAATCTCCATGAGGATGGAGTAATAGTCTTTATTGAATTCGTACTTTGGGGAGTACATCTTCGCTTCTCTCTTTTTCTTCAGGGATGGCTGTTCAGAAGTTTCAGCCACCCATACTTGTTTTCTTTTCTTTTCTTCTTTCTTAGCCGGCTGTGATGACCGACTCTTTTTTTTGTCAGATCTCCTTGAGTCTGACTGCTTACTGATGTTACAGAGCTCAGTTGCCTTTATATAGGCATCCGCCACCATCAGTGCCTCTTGGAGGGTTGCCACCCTCTTTCTGATGAGGTCAAACTTGAAGGGCGACTCGTCCTTCAGACCTTTGAAAAATTCCTTGTAGGCTAACTCATCAGACAACCCTTGAATCTGAATTTTCATTAGATTGAAGCGCCTGATATATGAGCGTAGCCCCTCCTGCTCTCCCTGTTGTATGGCTCCCAAGTCAAGGCTTGTTTTCTTTGAAGTGATATTCATTGAGAAGTTTAACGCGAACAAATAGGCAAGCATCTTGAAATATTGATGCATCCGGCTGGCAGGTTGCCAAACCATTGCTGGGCGACGCCCTTTAATGTGGCCGGGAAGCATCTACACCATGTGGCATCGTCCAACCCTTGACGATACATAAGGTTGGTATATGCCATCAGGTGGTCTTCTGGATTGGAGGTACCATCATAAGTGCCTACCAATACATTCTTCACCTTGGCTGACTGTGTGGCCTCAGTTATTTCCTTAGAGAAAGCTGAAGGTTGTTCCCTAAGTCTTAGCAGTCGGAGCTGCCAGTCCAAGGGCTGGACATTAGGTGATGCCTGCCCTTCGAAAAGAGTAGGCTGCATATAAGGTTGTCCATACGACATGTATGGTTGTTGAGGCGCATACGGGGCCGCCTGGAACATCTGAGGACTAGAGTGAGCGGACATGCCACCTTTCTGGTCCTCTCAGTTTGATTGAGAATACCTCATTGAGGTATTCTGAAAGCTGTCATTGAAGTTCGACGTTGAGGCCGACTCTAACAGTTGCATATTTTTCCTTTGCTGGATTATCATCCGAGCATCGGAATATGTTTTCTTGGAACCATCCGGCTGTATATGCCGAATGTCCTTCCTCTTCCATGGCTCATGGAACCGAAGTCAAGACAAGTATATCAAGGGCTTATGTCCCTCCCTTGGTTTAGGGTAAGGAGTGGCCTCTCGGTCCTTGATCGACTTTATCCTCCTAGAATAAGAGGGCTTCTTGGCTGACTATTCCTTGGTAGGGACAGCCGTCTGTTTATCAATAAGATCCTTTATCTCCCCTTTGAAACTTGTCATGAGAGTCATGAGTTCGTTTCTAGTGATGGGGGTGGATCCTTCAGCCACCTCGAACTGACCAGTCGGCTGGCCGACTGTTTCACTAGGCCCTGCCTGGTCGGGATTCCGTTCCTTCCTTTCGGTGGGACGGATGTGCCGTGTCCTGAGGGATCCGTCAGGGGCCGTGTGGGTGGCGACTTCATAGTCGTCATTGGTATCCTGGTCTGAGTAGACCTGGACATCAGCCATCAGCCATCAGCCATAAAAGGCAGTACAAGTTCTTGTGAAGTCATCTAAAAAGTACTCTCCTCACAGACGGCGCCAAATGTTTCGGGGTTTTTTTATGTCCTGCGTGAGAGTTACAATTCCAAGACTAACCTCTGACGCCTGTACCTGCAAAACAACGGAGACTCCTGTGGGTGGGAGTTCCGCCTTCGACGATCAAGTTAGAACGTGTTTGAGGAGTAAAGTGCGGAAGGGAAAGGTCTCCCTTAGATTTTAAGTAAGTATCTGCAATGTGTAATTGCTCAGTTCAAGGTGTCAAGTGTATGACTTTCTCTGATTGTGAGTTAATGTGAATTAATTTTCTGAATGATATTCCTTAGAGGGAAACATCTCACTTTTATAGGGTGTTTGAAAACGTACCCAATACTAGGTTTTAGTGAACCTAGGACTGACTAGGCTTTGCCTAGGAATTTGGGCCATGGGAGGCCATTTTCCTGATGGGCTATCTGTCAGCCACGTGTCGTGGCCTGATTGGTCCACGTTGGACCTCTCTAGAGGTGACACGTGGCAGACTCTAATTGATCCACGTGGATGACACCTAGCAGTGCTTGAGTGGTCCACGTGGCGGGGAAAAATCCCCTAATCAGGTGTAGCAAGAGCAGGAATAGTTTGAGCTTTGGGAACCCAGACTTTAGGCTGCTCTTTAGGTACACTTTGTTTCTTCTGAGCCTGAGTTTGAATCTTGGCAGGAACATCACAATCATGTCCCACCTTGTTACATTTTTTGCAAAAAGGAGGGGACCATTCAAATATAATCTTCTGCTCAATTACCTCCCCATCTGGACTTTCCACCCAAACACTCTTAGGTAAAGGTTTGGTAACATCAACTTCAATTCACACTGTAGCAAATGGTACTCTCAACTGCCTAGACGTGCATTCATCTACACAAATTAGAACCCCAATCACACTGCCAAGTCTGCTTAAAGTTTCAACCCCCCAGCAATTGAGAGGGAGGTTAGGAATTTTCACCCATAGAAGAAAAGTTCTCAAAACTTCAGCATGAAAGTTAAATTTCTTAGACCATGGCTTCAAAATGGCTAGCTTCCCAAAGAACATATAAGGGCCAACACTTAAGATAGTGTTCATATCATCATGGTTTTGCAGATTAATTAAAAAAAACCATCATTATGCAAAAATATTTCAGGCTTAACTATATTACTCCTGTTGTCTGCAATGTATCTGTGTACAGAAGCAATACTGGTATAGAACCCAATAACATAGAATACTATTGAGTTTTTCCATTTAAGATTACCTTCCTCATGTTCAGAGTTCTGCAATTGAGCAATTGATTTACCATCCTTAAGAATAAGGGCTTCAAATGACAGCGAGCATCCTTTAGCTGTGAGCTTGCCTTGGAATTACCCAATCCATTAATTAGTCTTTCGAGCTGTAACAACTAGCTCTGATTGTTTAGGCAACACATCATTGACTATAGAAGCAACTGATTCACCTTCAATTGCAGAATCCGATTTAGGAACCAATGGAACATTAGCCGCAGAAACCTTAGTTACTGTTGGATTCCTTCGCAATTGATCCAAAATTAAGCCCATAGCAGACAACAATCATTTCAGCATCACTTTGTGGTATCATTCCAATTGAAGGATGCACTGCACTAGGCGCTGGAGTAACCAGCTCATCAACTTCAGCAATGGAGGTTAGTGTGAAAGTTGTCCCTAAACTACTCAATTGTTTAAAAAGTGAATCAACTAGAGCTAGATTAGGCTGTTTACGAGTGTTTTAAGGGATTAAAGTAGCTTGTTTCATCTTCTTTGCCACCAGAATCGATCAGGATGAAGAAAACCATCTGGATCAGGTTACCATGGAAGAGAGAGAGAAGAGAGAAAAGTATCAATGTATTTGACTTTCATTTGATAATGTTTTTACTTTCATTTGATTCAAAAAGCTTTGTTAAAATGTGTTTGACTTTTATTTGATTCAATTAGCTTTGTCGAATGCTTTTGAATTTTATTTGATTCAAAAAGCTTTGTTTGAAGGTGTTAGACTTTCTTTTGATTGAATTAGCTTTGTAGAATGCATTTGACTTTCGTTTGATTCAATTAACTTTAATTGAATTCATTTGAATTTCTTTCTATTCAATTAGCTTTGTTGAATGCTTTTAACTTTCATTTGATTCATAAAGCTTTGTTTTAATGTGTTTGATTTTCATTTGATTCCGTTGGATTTGTTAAATTCTTTTGACTTTCATTTTATTCAAAAAGCTTTGTTTTAATGCGTTTGACTTTTATTTAATTCAATTAGCTTTGTTAAATACTTTTGACTTTCATTTGATTTAAAAAGCTTTGTTTGAATGTGTTTGATTGTGTTTTGATTCAATTAGCTTTGTTGAATGCATTTGACTTTCTTTTTATTCAATTAGCTCTTTTTTAATAAATTTGACTTTCATTCCATACAATTAGCATTGTTGAATGATTTTTAGTTTCATTTGATTCTAAAAGCTTTGTTTGAATGTGTTTGACTTTTATTAGATTCTTTTTTTTTTTTGGTAAGTAAGTAATTTTATTAATACCAAAGAAAGAGGGCAAGCCCTCAGAAAAAACAAAACCCTATCCTAAAAGAGACCGACCACCTTCTAGGGTGGGTGCCTCGAAAAAAGGAGGGGGAAAACCGACCACAAGTGGGGAGGCATCTTCTATGAAGGGTAAACCACACAGGGGACAACACAAGCAAACAAAACCAAACTACAACAGCCTACAAGGCCAACAGTACCACACAAATTTTATTAAATTCAATTAGATTTGTTGAATGCTTTTGACTTTCATTTGATTAAAAAAACATTGTTTGAATGTGTTTGACTTTCTTTTGATTTAATGAGATTTGTAGAATGCTTTTGACTCTTATTTGACTATAAAAGAATTTTTTAATGTGTTTGACTTTCTTTTGATTTAATAAGATTTGTTGAATGCATTTAACTTTCATTTGATTCAATTAGCTTTATTTGAATTCGTTTGACTTTCATTCTATTTAATTAGCTTCGTCGAATGCTTTTGATATTTTTTTGATTTAAAAAGCTTTGCTTGAATGTTTTTTACTTTCATTTGATTTCATTGGATTTGTTGAATGCTTTTAACTTTCAATTGATTCAAAAAGTTTTGTTTGAATGTGTTTGACTTTATTTTAATTCAATTAGCTTTGTTGAATGCATTTGACTTTCATTTGCTTCAATTTCCTTTTTTCAAATTCCTTTGGCTTTTAATCTATTCAATTATATTTTTTTAATGTTGTTGACTTTCATTTAATTTAAAAAGCTTTGTTTGAATGTGCTTGACTTTAATTTGATTCAATTAGCTTTGTTGAATGTCTTTTGACTTACATTTGATTCAAAAGGCTATTTTGAGTGTGTTTGAATTTCTTTTGGTTCAATTAGTTATGTTGAATGCATATTACTATCATTTGATTCAATTAGCTTTGTTTGAATTCGTTTGACTTTCATTTTATTCAATCAGCTTTGTTGAATGCTTTTGACTTTCATTTGATTCAAAAATGTTTGTTTGAATGTGTTTGACTTTCATTTGATTCTATTAGCTTTGTTAAATGCTATTGACTTTCATTTAATTAGAAAACCTTTGTTTGAATGTATTTGACTTTTATTTGAATCAAGTAGCTTTGTTGAATGCTTTTGCCTTTCATTTGATTCAAAAAGCTATGTTTGAATGTGTTTGACTTTTTTTTTATTAAATTAACTCTGTTGAATGCATTTGACTTTTATTTGATTCAATTAGCTTTGTTTGAATTATTTTGACTTTCATTTCATTGAATTAGCTTTGTTGAATGATTTTGAATATCAAT